TTCCCGGAGCTTACAAGAGAGGGCAGGATCACAACAGGCCAAAAGCTGCCTTTGGAAATCTGCAGGGAACAGAAACCTCGTGTAAACTGAAATGAAAAAAAAAAAAAGAATCACATACTGTTGTGATTTTTTTTTTTTTAAAAAAAAAAAAAAGAATCACATACTGTTGTGATTTTTTTTTTTTTAAAAAAAAAAAAAAGAATCACAAAACAGTATTTGAAAACTGAATAGTCTTTCCTCTCTATATAGTGCATTTACTTTCAATTTACTTTCCTCTCCAAAGCAGCCCCTCCCACTGCACTAATATTAAGTACTGCATGGAGTATAAGTAATTTGTTTTTCTAGAACTTTTCAAAGAGGGAAGAGGGGGCTTTGTTAGAATTTCAGTGTTAGTTTGCAGTGACACGCGATTTACCCGTTAACGGAGATAACTACCCGTTGTTAAAGATAACCAGTCTCAATTTCAAGCATGAACGGAGATAACTACCCATTGTTAAAGATAACCCGTCTCAATTTCAAGCATGTCACAAACACACCTCCCCAAAATACAGGCTCTAAAGTCTATGTATGTGCAGGTGCTGGCAAACCACCTTATGACCGCACTGGACTGAATGGATCTCAGCAGCTACACTGTCCTGGGTCTTGGTCTGAAGACACAGCTCCAAACCTAACCTAGGTTTTAGTCTAGGTCAGGTTCTACACCAGTGTCTCTGTTTTCTCCATCAATTGAGGTTGGCCAAGCTTGCCTTTTTTTTTTTTTTTTTCTGTTATCATGTATTTTTCTGAATATCATGAAAGGAACGTGTATGCTGATGTCTAGATCTAGTACTAGCTCCAGCTTGGTCTTGAATCTGAAGTTTAGCCTAGCTTGGAAAATTATGGCATGAACACAATTAACAAGTATTTGATGCTTAACCTGTTATTTGAAAATTTTTAGTTGTGGAAAAAACATGTCTAATGATTACTAATTTGAATTTGCCTATGGGAACTTACCAGGAATCTTACAGCTACATAGTGGCTCTTCTCTTTCTGGTTAACTTATCTCCCTTCTTCCTCCTCTATGCCTGTATCTGTAAAACTGGATGGAAGTCAAAAATTTATTTCTATAACGTATACTTGTTCCTGTCTGAAAATATGCTAAGCCAACACAAATCAGTCAGGAGAAACTCTTTGGGAAGCTGTATAAAAATTTCCTCTTCTTTTTACCTTCGCACTTTCCTGAGATATTTCTTGGGTAGGAAGAAAATGAATAAATGAATAAAGCGGATAAAAAGCAGCTAGTGAGATTAAAAGGCAGCAGCTGAAAGACTAAGGTTAGTCCATACCCCCACAGTGCAGGTCTGATTGCTGCAAATACATATTACTGAGATATTCCAAGTTCCTTTTTTCAGTGCAAATGAAAAAAAAAAAGATGGTGCCATTTTTAGAAGGCTTGTACTGCGCATATTGTGTGGCAATAAGAGTAGCCAAGGTGGCGGCAGGTTTTTTATGAGGTTGGCTTGAGACATGTGGGTTGGTGGCTTCTGGTGAAGTCACACTAGTCAGAAGGATTTAGGCTCCTGCGTGTCTGTATTGCACTTGCAGCAATCTGTCAAGGGGAGGAAGCCTTGAGATGGATTTTATTTGCTCACATGAGTATGTAGTGTGTATCTGTCAGGGAGAACAAGTTTGGCGATGTTCACGGGAAGAGACCCCACTCAAAAGCTGTGCAGCACTTTGGGGGTTTTTGAGCACTCTGCAGTGTAACCCAATGAATAACATAGTGGCTACCTTGTTACTCTGTTGTGGCAAATACCCTGAGGTATTAACAGGCATGACAAAGGAATTAAAACCGAAAGTGGCTTGGAATAAAAATCTGCTAACTCAGCACTACTCCTGAGAGCCCATATTGCTGGGATGCATGCAAATTGACCGTTTAAGCCAAACAACCTTAGGAAAATGGTGCTGGGGCTAGAGCTTGGACTCACTGAGCTTAAGCAGACCATTTCTAGAATAGACTGCAAACAGCATTTTCAAACTGTCACAGGGAGAAAAGTGGGGGAAAGCCTTTTGAAAAACATAATTGTTATTCCATAAATATGAAAAATTCTACAAGCAGAAAAAAGTTTCCTCACAAAATGCATTTCTCATAAATGCATTCATCTCTACTCCGATTTTCAGAACGTCAGATACAAGTGATGACTGCACCATATTTATCTTTCACTTCCAACTAAGTGCTCAGATTGGCCGAAAGAACGTTTACTATGACTTTACCTTTATAAACTCGAGTCCCTATATCTATAAAGCTAATACACTTGTAAGTAATTCCAAGTAGTTTGATAACCTGCCAGAAAATACGGCTGTGTGGAATTCGTGGTGTTATGCCTGATAGCCTGCAGGAATCAGTCGCTTGTTCCAGCACAGGACGTGATATTTGCACTCCATTCAAGGAGGTAAATATGAAAAGCAATATGCATTTCGCACGAAAGGGATACGCAGCAAGTAGCTGTCAGGTGAGCTAGGCGAGAGTGAAACGAGAGGTTCCCAAAAGAACAGCTGTCCTACAGGGTGGTATGGCCGTGTGACTGCCCGTGCCGGGGCTCTGTGTGTTAAAGCAGGCGAGGGACCTGGCACAGGGGGGCTTTCCTTGAAGAGATTTTGACTCTTTCCCAGGAAGAAAAAGCTGCGTTCTGAAGAGGATCTTTGAGCAAATATTTCAGGCTTTATTATCCTGTTCAACCAGTCTGCCCACACTTGTAATTAGTTCTATGCTTTAAAAGGGAACAATGGTTTCATTGTTACCACATACATGCTGGTAGGCAATATGGAGAATTACAATGGAAATACAGTATCTAATATCTCTTTTTATTACCAGTGTAAAAGAACCATAACCAGAATACCAGCATAGCACTGAGACTGGGTGGCTATTAGGGTCTGCAGAAGAGCATCCTTTATTTGTGTCTTTATCGCTGTTTGTAGTGCAGAAATACCATTTTTTCTCTGCGGTATGTGACACATCTTATTTCATTGCTGGTCAGTACATCTAACCTCGTTTTAAACTCTTGACCAAGGCTCTAACTTAATGATTTTTCACCATGGGGTTCAGTTACTTCCACGGGATCTCGGTGTGATAATGTGGCAAATGTTTCTGCCAGGGGGCTTCTATTTGCTCTTGGCATCTGAATTTCCACCAGAAAACAGGAATCAGCAAGCTGAAAACAGCTGACAATTGTTTATTAGAACCCAGCGGAATGCAGATGTTGAAGGTATTTAGTACCTGGTAGGATAAGGACTTGAGACAGCAAATTAAGAGATATCACACAAATAGACAGGACATTGATTCAGATCCAGTGAAGTTGAAGATATCTTTGCAATTCAATAGCATTTGAGCTAGAGAAAAATGTATGCATTCAACGGTAATGGGGCTGCACCGAAATCATCCCTGGCTTTCTGGGATACACTAAAACTTACCAGGAAAAACCACATTGTGGACGGCTTTCCAGTATTGCTGTAATTAAAAACTAGTTCCCAAGGTGGAGCTCCTCTTTGTACTGCAAGTTAAAAGGTCTAATCCTGTTTCGCTATGAACCGAGCACTGGTATTGCTCAAGGCCCTCTCTGTGCAAGTGGCGCTCCCTGCTGACAGCCTGCGACTGTCAACTGTCCTCCTCAGTCAACGAGGTTGCAGGGGTATTTTAGGTCATCACCATCGTCGCCACAGGTGACGGGATGTACTGATTTTCAAGCCATATGCATTTGGAAGGCTACAGTAGAGTTTAGTCAGGGAGATAAAATAGTAAAATTGAACTGCAAGTTAAAACGTCAGTTGGACTTTACGGCCATCTCTGCCCCACAATTTGTGTGTGACCCTGAGCTCAGCATTTGACCTTAGATAAAATTCTCTCTGTGCTCTACTATACCCAGCTGTTGAGAGAATCACAGAATCACAGAATGGTGAGGGTTTGAAAGCAGCTCTGGAAATCATCTAGTCCAACACCCCTGTCAGAGCAGGGTCACTTACAGCAGGTAAGTGTAATCCTGGGGTTTTTTTTCCCTAGCGGGGATATTGTGAGTCTTTACTTTGATAGCCACTGAAGAAAAAAACTATCCTTTATAGAATGAAAAACATTTTCTTTCATGATATGAATTTGTATCACAGGACGAATACCTTCAGTTGATATCTGTATGTGCGAGACTTCTGTAGTTCCAAAGATCAGAAACATGGACAGTCAGATAGATTAATACTGGAGTTTCCACGTGAGATGAAAATGTATGAATTTTAAGATTTGTGAATTTCTTAGTGCTGGGCATCCTGCTGTATAATTCAGATAGGGAAATATTTGACTCATTTTATGAATTATAATGACCATTAGTGCTCTGACTACTTTAAACAGACTGCCTTACATAACATGTAGCATTTGTTCAAGTGTTTTATTTTACAAATGCTGTCTCCATTATGTCTTTCAGGAGCACCTTTTTTTCATTAGTTGTTTGTTTTTCTTTAAATTATATTGATACATGGTAAAATGATAATATGGCTGAACTGGCAAACATGAAATTTAACCACCTTTGCTCACAAGTTATTTGCAAATGGACTTTGTATTTCGAAGCATCAGTTTGTCAGGGCACTGAGTGCAGCAGCAGGTCCTAATTGCCCTGACCATGCTCACCACCCACACCCTCTGCCCACGGGCCCAGAAGCCTCATTTAAGCTCAGGCCTGGTCTTTAATTCTTCCCTGAGCTATGTTGTAGATGTGCCTGTTTCCAGTCCTGTTCCTGAATTGTTATTTAGATTTATTGGCCTCCCTTTGTTATTCAGAGTGACTTTTCCAGGCTTCGATTCTAGCGGCTTATTTGGTACAGGCCCAGATTGGAGTTCTCATTCTGCATTCATGTCGTGAGATCTGTCTCCAAACTGTCATTTAATAAAAGCATTCCACCCTCGCAAAAGTCTTGGGATAATCAGGATCATTTTTCTTATCCACGCAAGCATTTGTGGTGCCTTCTTTCTGCAAACATTCTCAGGGAGATGAGAAAGCCGCTCCTACATGTAAGAAAGGGGAGTTAGAATCACCTTGGAAACAACTGCGTTGATTTATATTATTGAATAATTTATGCACCGTTGGTCAGCAGTAACTGGAACAAAGCTTTCTAAAAGATACACCTTCCTTCAAACACATCAATTATTTTTACCTGCAAACAACTTTCCCCTTCTCTTAAATCTCCTCAGCAGTTGCTTTTGGTCTGCTGCTCCAGAGGTGTGTTCAAAATCTTTACATGGAGCAAAAAACAAAGAAATAAGAGGAAATGGATTGCTCCACAATGCTGAGTTTTTATTCCCAGCGAAGGCTCTTGCTAACACCTCTCTCTATGAAAGTTTCCACTTTCTTGAAACAGAGGAGATGGCCTTATGTTACAGCTGATGAAACAGACTTCAAGCGAGGAAACTTGCTACAAAAGGGCTGAGGTTCTGCCCATGTGTATGAGCAGGCACGTTCTTTGTGCTGAAGATTGTGTAGCGTTTGTGAAACATTTTCGACATGAAAAACATTAATGATTGTTCCTCTTCCAGTGGAGAGATGGGGACACCCTTTGAATCAGAGTTTTCAGTAAGGCTTGACAGAGATGCTGTAAAATAGTCCTTTGATTTGCAGTCTGTATCTTATATGTTTACCAAGGTGTCATGACACCTCTCTCCTGTGGGGTAAGGCTTACTCGCTAGGTCTGCCAACGTATCCTCCCTTGGGCTTCGGCCAAGCGAGAATCTTCTCCAGCCATCGTCCACGTTTGTAGAAGTCCGAGAAACCAGACATGCCATGCAACATAACGAGGGGGGACAAAATGGGACAGAAAAAACACAGCTTATTTTGGTCAATGCTACTTTATATGCTTCATCTCCAGCAGGAAAAAAAAAAAAGAAAAAAAAAGATGCTTACAAAGCTTAATCAAATCATACTGCTTTAATCCAAACAATCTACTTTAACCACAGATTTAGGGAAATAAATTCCAGGTTTGGAAATGATGGCCCTTACAGTATAGCTAATGTACATAAGGATCATAAACTTTATATACCTTGCTTAAGTTGGGATAAAGATTCAGGTTGTAAAATTTGAGATAAATTTTCTGATGCTGATGTTATAAATGTTGTATAATTCATTACTTTAACATAGCAAATACCTCATATCTTTTGTTAGATGGTTCATTGCTCCTAAAGAAAATGCTTTGCTTTTATTATTTCACAGTAACATATACCACATTGTTGGTTAACTGAGAGCAGAGAACATACTGTTTCCCATGAAGAGGTCTCAAGAGGAAAACTTGAATCTGTTGCTTTCAATCTCTAAGTTTATTTTCATCATGCTAGCACAGAAAATATTCTTGTAATACTCAGGAACAGGTGATCTTCTGTAGATACAAAAAAGAGTATTGCACAGCATTTTATTAGACTTTTTCTCTTCCAGTCTGGAGTGGGGATGAGAAGATCCCAGAGTTCTGAATTGCAATTGAAAATCTTACATTCAATTCAAACTTTGTGCAATAAGTCAATCTAATAACATTATTTTTTAGCAGGATGCATCTTAATGGACCATAGGCTCCCTAAAAATATCTGTCTTTCTAAAGAAGTCTTGGGAGGGAATGGGAAAGAACATCAGCATATGGTATACCTACACAGCAAGCAGGTACCCTCATCATCAATCTGTTTCCAGAGTAAAAATATATGAAATAGCATTTTCAACCAGCTTGTTCGACTATTGACACAGAGAGTTGTCCCAATAAACATCTATGTTGCCTGATGCCTAAGTGCTAATTAGGTAAAAATATTTCGTTGCTTACTGGTAACGTGTCGTGGATAACGCACATGTTATCCTTTGCAACTAGAATGTCTGTTCTATAGATTTTTGGGATGAAGTACATGGATAAAATATTGCTGTTATTCAGTACGGGAAGGAGTGACCCTAAAATTGAGAAGTTGGGGAAAACATGACCAATGAAATTAAAAAGGCGTTCCTAGCTACCTTAGGTATATCGCCACAGTTTGGAGTATTTGCAGGTGGTATCTGAACCACAGGCTCCTTGCTCTGTCTAAACCTAGCTTAGGAACGGCGTTCAGAGAGGGCTGTGTCATGCCACAGGCTACGTCCATCTCCCCGTCCTGTGGCCCTGTTCCCCAGCCTCTTCGTCCTCAAATTCTGAAAGCAAATCGAAGAAGAAAGCCTGTAATTAATGGTGCAGTAGAGAGAGTTCGTGGGTACTACCTAATTTCTTAGATGTCTATCTATACCCAAAGGTACTCTTGCATGCATAAGTGTGTAGTTATTTTGAAGAAACATCCATTTAGCCTTTTTTTTTTTTGAGGCTAAACTACATTGCTGACATACCACAGAATAAGTCACTTTATTTCTGTCCGAAATGACAGAAGACTCCCTTTAAAGTTAATGGTGGTGCCATGGAACGACTGGATGTCATTGGGAAACGTCTGCTGCACGGACCTGCCCGCAGCACCGTTCTCCCAAAAAATCATCAGCAGGTTCTGGGCTCTGAAAAGCCTAAACTCAGGGCGGGTGCCGGATGTCCCTCTCACTCTAATTAAACTGTTTTGTTAACTTTAGCAGCTTTGTTGTTTCATAGGTCAAGAACATGAAGGCAGAACACTGCAACACAAATACTCTGAGCTTGAACAAGAGCTATTTTTCACCTCTGAGAGCTATTTTTTTACTGCAGAGAGTTACTTTTCACCACCACAAGCACCAGTTATTTTCTACCTTTGAAATATTTGGGGTCATAGAGAATATGTCACTTTTTCAGTCAGAGAAGACAACTCCTTCACCAGCCTTTCCACTGGGGCACGCTGAGGAAGTAACCCATGTTCTGAGGGCCGCTCATCCAAGCAGAAAGAAAGAAGATTCATTTTGCGTACTACCGCAAACTCATTTTAAAATACAGAGTTTTGGAGCCTCCTCTAGTGCCCGCTGGTCCCAGTTTGTAAAATTATATTTAACCTGAGGCCTGTCGCTATGTGTGTGCCCCCCCCCCC